CATACTTAAAAACTTTACCTTGCGTGTATGACAGAGCACTGAAAGTGCAACTTGATATTAAAAAGTCCCTAACAATCAAAATATAACCGGACAAGTTCGGGTCCGGCTCGCCCACCGATGGTTCCGTACAAATTTGTAGGTACGTAACTCAAATGGCTGTATCTTGTATTAACGTTAATTAAAAATAAGAAGTTACATTTTGTCACAGCTTCAAGGGCCCGTAGGCCTGAGTAAGTATAAAATTTTTAACTCGATATCTCCACGCGTTCTCGAGATAAAGGATCCTGACAGACAGACGGACAGGCGGTAAGACGGACAACTAAGTGATGACGGTTCCGTTTCTTCCTTTTGAGGTACGGAACCCCAAAAATACATAGGCACACCTCAACAACTAACCTTTTGTCTTCGGCTGGGTCCTTGGTTTTTGCGGTCCATAGTTGTTGAGGTCCTCAATTGTTGAGGTCCTTAGTTGTTGAGGTCTTCAGTTATTGAGGTCTTCAGTTGTTGAGGTCTTCAGTTGTTGAGGTCCTCAATTGTTGAGGTTTTCAGTTGTTGAGGTCCTTAGTTGTTGAAGTCTTCAGTTGTTGAGGTCCTCAGTTGTTGAGGTCCTTAGTTGATGAGGTCTTCAGTTGTTGAGGTCCTCAATTGTTGAGATCCTCAGTTGTTGAGGACCTTAGTTGTTGAGGTTCTCAGTTGTTGAGGTCTTTAGTTGTTGAGGTCCTCAGTTGTTGACGATTGGGCCCACTGCTAAGGCGATGTCCGGAAACAATAGTGACAGATTTTCAGCATATGCCTACTATAATGTCCGATATTTTTTTTTTCAAATAAAATTTATTATTTCTATGGAACAATGAACTTTAAACTAAAATAAAAACCTTTAAAATATAATATAATAACTAAAATATATTACTTAAAGGAGTCCCTTTAGGCAAGGTTCCGAAGATACTGGCAGCGTTCCCCCTTTGAATAGCTAGACTATGTTCATTTCATATATATATATTTTTCATATATTTTCATTTCCGAATATGTTCCTCTCCGAAGTTAGAATTCTTTATTATGATTCGATTGGAGAAATGTATATGATATTATCTAACATAATGACTCATTTATGTACCTATTATTATAAGCCCGATATTATGTATATTGGACTGGGAGCAAAAGGCAACCATAGAATATGCCAGCTGATAATTTTCCAACGCCAATAGTAAAAATCGATTATTGAACAGTTTCGGAAAGGCAACTGTTACTTTAGTTTCCGAACAATATATAATATCCAATCGATATGAAACGTGGAGTAGGTGTGGCTATGCGAGTATTATTTCTAGTGATATTTGATATCATACCTGTGATTTTGAGTAACACTGAAAATAAGTTACACACGTAAATACGTCACAATAAAAATAATAATTCGCTAATGTCAAACGATGTTTTCTTTGTGAACCTTTTTTTATAAAAAAAAATTACCTTAGTTTTAATTTTCAGAAAAAAAAACAATTGTGTTTTTATCCTCTTTGCTTCAAAAATAGCAAACGACGTCGTTATCATCCTTTGATCCGCACTGGACCCACGTGATAAGTCAGAGATATTGATATTCGCGAGAGGGAGGGTCAATGACCCAACAGAAAAAAGGCATATTTATTTTTCTACTAATACAAATTATGTTTGTTTAAAGAATTTGTTAGGTACCTATGAAGATTATAATGTTTAAGGTTTCATCAAGATGCACATTTGGCAAACCACGCTAACGAAAAAATAAACGAAATGTTGTATTGAGTACTGTTACTTAATAAAGTGTAATAAAATCTGCGAGAGAGCACTTTTGTTAGAGAATAAAAAAAAAACTAAAATTACAAATCTGCGAAACGTGATTGGATAGAACTTTTTTCAAATGTTAATTTAAACATAGAACAATGTCAATGTTCTATCGATTAATGTTTTAAAACAATTATTACGCTTACTAACCTAAGTTTTTCGCGAAAAAGGTACTAATATCTTTTTCTTATATAATATTTTCGTATATAGTATACGAAAATATTAATATGCATTTCACTGAAATAAGGGCTCAAAAGTGATAAACATGAAATATTGCCAGCCACCCAGCGCTAGCAATCCAATTATATTTTAAAAAAGGAATTCTCGCACAGCCACGCATTTCAATTCTGAGACGTTCCAAAAAGGTCCAGTGCTAAAATTTAAAACTCGCGGCGCCATCAATCTCGCGAGCCGGTTTAAAAAGAAAAACAAGATGAAAAATTCTTCTTTATTTTTTCTTAAAAAAAAAAGGAACGCTCGGAGCGGTTTAAAAATCGAATCAGGCCTCCGGCCTTGAGAAAGAAAGGAGGCGCTCTTGCCGTCAACACATAAATCATATTTCTGGAGAATTTTTAAAAGTCCTATTGCTTTCGCGTATTTGCCATGTACTCCCCTCGGCCCCCGAGCGCGGGGGGGCGTGTGTACTTACTCCCTCGTTTCCTAGTTTCTCTCGGCGTACAGGCTGTTTCCATTCGGATGTGTGTCCTTGAAACTCTAATATGGAATAAAGCAAAGCCATTGTTTCGGGGAAAGGCGACACGTCTTTGTGTTATTTTCGGACTCTTTTCTTGTTGATTGACAGGTATTGTTGGTGAATGTCGTATTATATTAGTGTTTTAGTTGTGGCCGTGAGCGGGTTATGTGTTATATATGTGCGACAATAGCACGGCATGTTTATATGTGAACTATGATTTTGTTGGGTGTTGAGCTTCGATATACAGTGTTCATGAAATGATAAATTATAAGTGGCTAGCGTTAATAATTATCTAACAAAGCATGTTTTACTTCCATTTTGGTTATTAGTTATATTAATAAAAACATATAATTTTGTTACAATTTAAGTAATAACAACTTCTTTTGAAATGTCAAAAGTATTTCTATTAAAAATACCAAACAAAAGAAAAATATAAAATACAACAAGCTTGTTTGCATCAGCCTGTATAGTGGTAAGGCGCCGCGGAGGAGCGAGGGCGGGCGTCCGCACGCGGGGCACAGTACACCCTGTACATGCAGATAAAACACAATATTTGTACTTCATTTAACTTGACAAATGAAGATGTACGTTTTATTTTAAATACCGTATTGTGGCAGTTAACTTTATTCATAAATATGACATCAATTTACATATTATTGTAATTTAGATGTTATTATGTCTTACACTGGTTTTCACCAATTGCTGTAATGTCAATATTAGTTGACATTACGTTGAAAATAGGAAACAATGGTTTTATATTGCTACAACTTCTAGTTACTAACATATTTTTGTTGTCTGGAAGAAATCGCTGATTAGCGATAAGACCGCCCTTTGTGCAACTGTAATTGTTTCGCCTTGTATTTGTATTTTATTCGTGTTATTTATGTTACCGTTGTGCAATAAAGTATTATTATCTTATATTTTTTCTTACAATCGGAATTACTAGATGTTACTTTTTAACAATGTTTTTGGAATCACGGTTTTAAAAGATACTCGTATTTTAAGTTTTTCTTAAAGATTAATATAACATCATAAATAATAATCGGAAAATCGTATTATCATATTTTAGAGGAACGCAAATACTTTCATAATAAGCTCCATGTCTTATATACAAGACTGAAAGTCCAATAGCACCACTGCTATTAATCAAAACGAATACCGGAAACGAGGTATTTGCTCTGTCCTCTCAAGGTATACTATGCCGACACACATGTGGTGGGGCACTAGGAAGAAAGCGGGCGAAGAAAAAATGAGGGAGAGGAAAAACTAGAGCGGGACGGAAAAGTGGGCGAAAAACGAAAAATTTCACCCCCCCTCCCGTCCGCATACACCCGCCCGCCTGCTCGCCTGCCTCCCTCGCACACACACATGCGTGCGTGTATACTGCAACCTGGAGGAACTGATACTAGCACTTTCACTTCCTTGCTGAGTTTTCTTTGGATTTTCTTGTGGAAAATGTAAGTTTCTTTTTGTAATTCGATGCGCGAGTGATATTTCGATTTTTACTTATTTGCTGTTTCTTGAAAAGACAATTCGCTGGTTTAAATGGTTTACTTTTCATTTCTTTGTTTGAAAAAATAATGAATTTATACCGGGTTTTCTCATTAAAGAACTCATTATTTCAGTTCTTTGGTGTGTTTTCTTTTGATTTTCTTATAGCATGTAATTTATTACAGCAAACTGATTTCTGTTTTTGTTAGTTTTTATCGTTACCTTAGTTTGAATAATCGTATACTCAATGGTTGATTTTCACATCTTAATAAGAAATCGTTCAAATTAATATTTGTTACTTTAACTAAATTCGACTTCGTAGTTTTCAAAATTTCTTAGTAAAAACAAATATAAGTCGTTAAAACATTAAAAATGGTTGCCTGTAAAGTCGGTTTTACGGGCGAAGATTTTACGTGACAACGTCTTTTTCTCGGTAGAATATTTATTGATATGAATATAATTAAATTGCACAATAGGAACAAGGAATTGAATGAAAATAAGAATTGCACAAATTTTAACTATAGAAATATATTTTGTTTACTAAAACATTGTACATGTAAACTTAAACTTAACACGAGAGACTCATCGTAACGTTACCGAGCGTTACACTTTTTCATAAGTGACTCCCAGCCGCAACCTAATTTAAGACGTTGTCACGTCAAAAAGTGTTACGTTTTACCAAAAATAAGTCGTTAAATAACATAGGAAAAGTGTAAAGTTTTTAAATCTGTGGCATGTTATTCAATTCTCTGATTGAATACTATCTTTCCATTATGATACAAATATAAAATCTATAACTTATTACTTTGTGAGATCAGAGAAAATTAATGTCATAGAAAATTCTTTCCGCAAGTGAAAGTATCAAGTAGGCGCCATCCCCCAGCAGGCTATTGTAGCATGTTTTTATACCCAAAAATTTTAAGTCAGTAGGCGCTCGAACTCTGAGCGGCTTGAACGTTTTTATTATTATTAATATATATTTATATTTCGTTTTAATTTACAAGTTTTCCACGGTTCATAATTTTAATATTTTTATACCGTTTTATACAACAAAGTGTTTATAGATAGGCGTAATTACAACAAGAAACGAACTTTGGAACCACCAACGAGATCGGGAAGGGATTCGGAAAAAAGAACGTTTAAGTTTGACAGCAAGTTTCCGGTGACAGTTCGCGGATTCGAATTTTAAAATTGACGTTTAAAACAACATGGCGGAGTGCGCGATTGCCGGTTGCGGGTTCGACGACCTCGCCGAGGAGCAGTAGGATGATCAACTTCCAGAACATTTGACGACTGCTCTATCCGTAAGTACCTGCCATTTCGAATTTGGAACTTGGAATTATTGATGGCTTTTTATATAAGGGTGCGTTCATAATGTCACATGAATATTGTACAAGTTAATATCAGCGAGGCGGTGTGCGTGCGTACGTACTTCAGTACACACGCACACAGACGTGGGATTGTTTTTATCGTTCGCAGTAAATTAGAGGGGCAGCGATAGTGGCCGTTGCCGATACCCACTGACTAGTGTTGGTATTGATTTTTTTCCCTCATTCTGTTAAATTTCATTTATTGGGGGAGCGCGGACAGGCCGATGACGTGTGCCGAATTGGCCGTTGGGCGATAGCTAAAGAAATTGGACTCAGGATTGGACACCGCCGCCAAACTTTGCTTGGTCGCTGACTGCGGTTCCATTTTTGAACGTGACCGTGTGAGCGTCATTTGTTTGATATCTTGAACTACTTACACACAATTTATGAGCGACTTCCGGCCAAGGATGCGACTTTTTTAATTGCTATACTTACGACGTTCATGACTGAATCTCGTGGTCGTTTCGACTCATATGCGTAAGGTGCCTTGACTTAACGTAATGAAGTTAAAACTAAGTATATTTTTTCTTCCACGCTCAGCATTTTACTAAAAGCGAAGAAGAAGAGATGTAAAAGATAGGAAACTGCCACTCCATGTCTTGATCTGAACTTGATTCCCCCACCGCGTGGAGCTTTCGTAACCACACTCACCATAGGTACACAATGCTTCAGAATAGTTCCTGTAATTTGGCTACAGTCTTAAGGTGGAGGTGACTTGTTCCAGGCGGGCGCTCCAATGCGAGCTGGAAAGCAGCTCTTATTTCAAGAAATTTAATGTCATAGCCACGGACATAGATCGCAATAGATATGGCAAGTGTATGTATTTCGCGTGCCAAAAGGCAATCCAATGATCATCTTTTCACGCTAATTAAATCGATTTTTTTAAATGCTTAATAGGCAAGGCGGTTGACCATAATCTCGCCTGATGGAAAGCGATGATGAGGCCTAGGATGGTACACGCCTGCCTAGGAGATGCCTGTTCACTCTGGCCTTGAAGATCTCCCTAGCCGTTCGCATAATGAGAGCGGAAGCAAATCGCTTCGTGCGTATAGGAATTTAACATTACGTCAATCGTAATGTTAAAAAATAATCTAACTATTGTCATTTTTAAATGTAAAACGATATAAATGATATAGGTGAACTAGGCCCATGCTTTTTCACCACAATTTTTTTCTCGTGAGAACACAAAATCTGACACATTCGGTTACCATACGATTTGAAGTGAATGCGGTGTCTACTTCAACTTAGGTCTGTGGTCATAACCAAAGTCTATCTACCAATCAAAACGACAGATTTGACCATGGGTTTTTTCACACCAGGCAGTAATGCCACAAGATGTGGTCTTTTTACCAATTAGGAATTTCCATAAATTTTGCAGGCCGGCAAGGTGACGATGGTTGGTGTGGCAGTTTATAACTGCTGTACCAGCTATCTTCGCGTTTGGACTTTATCACCACTTAACATCAGTGGGGTAGAGCCATTTTCCTTCCTGGCTTTTAAAAAAAAATATAGCTAATGTGAAAAATAAATTGGATTATTTCTATTTATTTTTCATTACGCTTTTGAATGATCTGACATGAGGTAGACTGTATCTCAGTACTCATAATGTGGAAGGTCCTCAGTTTGATTCCTGGTTTGGCAAGAGAACTGTTACTGAGAAAATATTTAATACTAGCAGCGGGCCGCGACTTCGTCCACATTAACTTTAGTTCCTGGGAAATCCCACGAAAACCTCAGTTTTGCCGGGATAATAAGTATCCTATGTCTCAATCTACGTAATAAACTTTATGCGTAGCAAATTTCATCAAAATTCGTTCAGTATTTTTTGGGTGAAAGCGTAACGATCCAATTTCGTATTTATAATAATAAGTTAGGATAGTTAGGATTAGGATGAAATATTTTGAACCGTATTTAGGATTAGGATGATTTTTTTTAGCGGAAATCAAACAAATAATATGTGTATCTTTTATACTTATCGCTATATCTGTAGGGAAAAAGCAAGAACGCAGGCAGCTGTGGCATCGCCTTCACAATCTGAGGTTCTGGATTTGATTTCCGTTAGGTGAATAGTAGAAAATACCGGAAAGTACGAGTAGGATTCGCTAAGGAACAGTTCCGTACCCAATGGGACGATTTAACATGTAAAAAGAGATGCAGGACATAGTGGGCTTTCCGCTCGAATCGGAGACCCCGCCTGGAGAAGTCACCTTCACCGTACAGAAGACAACAGTGAAATAACACTACCTAGTGCTGAGGCAGGGACCTAGTGTGCTGAGGCAGGGACCTAGTTGAGTGCTGAGAGACAGGGACCTAGTTGACCTTATTCTGTTTTTTGATTTATTTATGCTTTGTTTGTTGGTCAATAAATTATTTCTTTACCTTGTGGTGGTGTTGTGTTTCTGTCGGTGAGTAAGATTTCAGGGCTCCACGGGGTAGGGGATTCGACATATTTAATATTGACTAGCGGCCCGCCCTCGCTTCGCTTCGGTGTAGAGCTGAAGTGTAGACTACAGTTTTTGTTCTCAGGCTTGTATTATACACAATGACATTCATCTATGATTCTTCTTATACCTGCATGCAAAGTCTCAGGCCGATCGGTTTAAAATTGACAAAGTTTCAAACAAACTTTCATTCCCTATTTTATCCCCTTGGGGGTAGAATTGATTAAAATCCTTTCTTAGCGAATGCCTACGTCATAACATCTACCTGCATGCCAAATTTCAGCCCGATCCGTCTAGTGGTTTGGGCTGTGCGTTGATAGATCACTATGTCAGTCAGTCAGCCACCTTTGAGTTTTATATATATAGATCATTATTTTGCCGTTAATTCATGATCATTCGATGTTTGATCAAAACCTTTCACACTAATTAATAATGCTCTAATATGGTACCTTATGATTTCTGCTGTATACTTTGTTAGGTACCGTTGGATTGATACGTATTTTACAAGCGTTTCTGGAGTTCGATGGCGCGGGTGGTTAGCGCGTTCAGCTGCGATCGTTGAAGTTAAGCAACTTTCGCAGTGGTCAGTCATTGGATGGGTGACCAAATTTTTTTTATTTCGAGTTCTTCCGTGCTTCGGAAGGCACGTTAAGCCGTTGGTCCCGGCTGCATCTGCAGTTGTTAACACCCGCCTACTCGCACTGGGCCCGCGTGGTGGTTCATGGTCCAATCTCCCTATTCCGTCCATAGGGAAGGCCTGTGCCCCAGCAGTGGAGACATAAATAGGCTGATGATGATTACAAGCGTTGCTATTTTTAGCAGACTTCAAAAAGAGGAGGTTCTCAATTGAGCCAAAATATTTTTTTATGTTTGAACACCGACTACGCTGAGGTTTCTGATCCGACTTACGCCTTTTATTTGTTCGACGCTAAATAGTTGCTGTTTGGTCCCAAATAATTTGATTGAAGTGAAAACTCCTTTAGGAGCGTTGAGTATTTTTTGAGATGGGGAAAAATCAACCAATTTAGGGCTCTGTGATCAAGTGATCAATCGATACCTCTGTTTATAAGTATGTGTATTTAAATTTTGGTCAACGATGTTAGGTTATGTGATTTTATTGTAAATTGCGATACCATATCAGGGTTCATGTCATCAATAACCACATGAATGCAATAATATACTTTTATTTATTCATTTTTGTTTAAATAGGGATGATGACTAATTTTTTTTCTTCGTTTATCAGGTAGATTATCAAAAAGTATTGGACACGTATTTTTTCTTTTTTTCACATAATATAAACATTGCTGAGATATATTGATTTGAAATTCGCATGACGTCACGTTTTGGTACAATTTTCACTTAAAAGTGACGTCACGAGCCCCTACTCCCAAACTTTGACGCGCTATAACTTTGCCATTTTTTGGTTGATTGCCCAAAGAAAAAATACGTGTCCATTATTATTTGATCATCTAACTGACGGACTAAATAAAAATTCGTTTACTGTACCCCGTCATCACCCCTATTGTGCTTAGTTTTTATTGGAATTTTGAGATAACTATTATATAAGGATTATTTTCTATATATATTCTGTCATGTTTTACCAAGAAGTAAAAGCGTCTATCGTGTCGCACCCGCTAGTAATAATTAACATATCTATACCATCTTCAAGCAAACATTGATCGAAAACAACATAGTGTAAAATAATGTCGCTTTTCCACGTCTGTCTGTATATCTACCATCTCTTAAATATTTTTTTCTTTAATTTTTTTTTACGAAATCATTATTTTTTCTAATAAAAAAATTCTTTAGTAGTATTGTTATCAAAGGAACTTCTGGATTCTGAATAATAGTGCAGTGACGAGCTCCTCGCCAGCATGGAGCTCAATGGCCAATTGAAGCGCCCGCCCGTCTAAGAAATCTCAACACTAATTTCATTGAAACGCTAGTAGATTAAATATATATATATATACTATAATTAAAACAAATTTACATAGCAATATGCGACATCTACAAAATAATATGTCTCAGCACTAAAAGTATATTTTTTTGATTCCATTTGCAATGCTTCTCTCAGTTTCCTAATGAACTGGCGACCCTCCGAGTTGCTGCCCCATCTATCAAACATTAATGGGATTATCATATGGGGAAGGACGAGGGAAACGCACAAAAATGTATCTGTTTATTTTGACGGAGAAAAGATTTTACAAGAATTTGTTAAGATATTGTTTATTATACCTTATTAAACGTAGTGTCCTCAGGCGCGATGGAGTGACGATTTGCGCAAGGTGGCTGGCAGGAGCTGGATGCGAGTAGCCCAAGATCGATCAGAGTGGCGTGCATTGGAGAGGCCTATGTTCAGCAGTGGACTAAGATTGGCTGTTGATGATGATGATGATGATGATACCTAATTTTTCTTAGGAAAGGTACAACGAATTATTTCGCCTTAAGAGCGATTGTATAAAATGAAATGTCACTGTGTGTAGAGTTCAATAG